CCTCCTCTTCCTTTCCCTCCCAAACTAGAAACAGTATTCCGGCAAGACAATTTTAAAAGCATAAGTTAGCGTGAAAATGTACTGCTGTGTGTCCTGGGTCTAACTGGGTTCGTGGTTATGAAGCACAGTCATTACGGGAAGAAGTAGTGGCTGTAGTTTTCTTCAGCTGTAGTAGTTATAATTACTGAAGTACATTGCCATATTAACTTTTGCAACATTACAATACAGTACCAAGTTCTCTATTACAATACAACATTACAGTACCAAGAGATCTATTGCATTATTTACAAAACAGTACAGAAGGACCAGGACATGAGACCGCTGTTAGGAAAAAAAATAGCTCTGAGTTATGGAGGTGCGTGAGGTAAGCCAAGTGCTCCTGTGGTGAACTGTACGCTGAGTGAAGACCAATATTAGCTGAGCACTGAAACGTAAATGCCTCGTCATTCATTTCTTGGGTCGGTGCAGATAATGTGTGTAGGGGTGTGGGTAGGAGGTGTGTAGGGGTCTGGATAGGGAGTGTGTGGGTAGGTGGTGGTTAGGGGTGTGGGTGGGGTGGGTGTAGGTAGGAGGTGTACTGGGGGAAGGGATGTAGATGTGTAGGTAGGGGTGTGGGTAGAGGGGTGTAAGGATGTGGGTAGGAGGTGTAGGGGTGTGCGTAGGGTAGGTGTTGGGTGTGGGTAGGAGTTGTAGGGGTGTGGGTAGGAGGTGTAGGGCGTGTTTATTTTGACAGATAGACAAACGGACGAAGAACAATCCGATAAACCGACATGAAGGGGATTAAAAATAACAGTGATAAATATGAAATGAGAGAACCAAAGTGGCAAGGGGAGGAGAGGAAAGAGAAAGCAGAAGAGAGAATGTGAAAGGACGTGAGAAGAAGAACAGATGAAGAGAGCTGAACGAGAGTTATTATCACCATCCACCCAAAAAAAATATATTAATAAAGATACGAGTGAAACAATGCAAAGAAGTGTGAAGAGACTGGGGGTGGAAAGGATGGATGGATGGGAAGTAGGTGAGAAAAAGTGAAAGGTGGAGAAAGTGAAAGAATTAAGAAAGCAGGTGAAGAGGACCCTAACGAGGAGGTGAGTTATTGTGGTAAATGTTTTTGTTATTTACGAAAGAGAAAAAGAAAAAGGTGTAAACAAATCAGCGAAGAAAATAAAACGAGAAAGTGAAATCTAAGTGTGTTTGTATCTTAGTTTTTTGTTGTCATTATTATAATTTGTTTTTTAAAGTAGCGTGTGGGGTGATGTGCAGAGGGCGTGTGGGATAAGAGCGTTGGGGCGTGGGGTATTGATGGTGGGTGGCGTTGAGGCGTGGATCATTGGGGGCGTTGGAGCATATAGGGGATGAGGGCTTTACGGCGTGGAGCATAGGGGCGTAGATGCGTGGCATAGTAAGACGTTGGAAACTAGGGATGAAAACTTAAGGGGCGTGGAGTATGGGGGCTTAGGAGCATGGATCATTGGAGCGTTGAGCGTGGCAATGAGGGAGAGGAGAGGTCGATGTATGGAGGCGTGTGTCTTGGGGGGCGTAGAATGTAGCATGATGAAGATCCAGACGTAAGGGCGTGGGCTATGGGTCGTGGGAGGCGAGAGTGGGGTGGGACAGGGGCACTTAGGACTCGATCGAACCCACGCCCTTCAATAGCAGTAATGAGTCACATTCCAGCCATCCAAAAAAAAACAGCTTGTAAATATTACCCACATATGAATTTCTTCGTATACATATACACACAAGTATACACATGGATGTACTGTACACCTATGCTAAGGAATTAACAGGTAAATGACTAAGAGAGAAAACACTGAATAATAAAGAAGGGAGGTTTAAAGTTCGTATAATTCGAGGACATACATACATACATACATACATACATACATCGTTGAGTAATCCACCCATCCATCTTATCATTAATCCATTATTCATCCATCATTTATCAAATTAGATATTCATGTCATCTATCACCCATCCATCCATAATGTCACTCATCCAACAACCGTCTCTCTCTCTCTCTCTCTCTCTCTCTCTCTCTCTCTCTCTCTCTCTCTCTCTCTCTCTCTCTCTCTCTCTCTCTCTCTCTCTCTCTCTCTCTCAGGGTCATACATCACCCACCTAGGCGCCATTATAAGCCATTAAAGTTTACCTGGGGCCATCAGAGCGTCTCCGGCCTGCCTGTAGTGATGGCGGTACATATATATTAATGATTTTTTTTTTGGTGTTTTCTATTAGGGAAATTGATCTCTCAGGCGAATGATGTAACTTGGTCTGAGATATGATGGTGTAGAGCTGAGAGAGAGAGAGTATCTGTAATTTTTTCTTTTACAAAATTGAGAGAGAAAATACAATTAAATAAGTGGATATGTTTGTATATGTGTATTTATGTACAGGTATACGGTATATACACATATACACATACACACACACACACACACACACACACATGACCTCTCTCTCACTGTTTACCGTTCCAGTGTGTCGAGCAGACGTCAGAATGAGTGTCATGTCTGTCTGCACTGTAGACGGGTGAGGTATGGTGACTTATTGTGTGGTGAACTGAACTGTAGTGAGATGTGATGAGCTATGGTGAGGTGAGGGTAGATGAAGTATTTTGTGGTGGTATGAGGTCAACTATGTTAAGGTGAGGTGAATTGTAGTGAGATGAGCTATTGTGAAGTGAGGGTAGATATAGTGAGGTGTAAGTGAAGTGAGGTTAGCTGTACTATGGTGAGGTGAGCTGAAATGAGTTGAACTAAGCCGAAATCCTGAGATGAGGTACGGCTGTAGTGAAGTGAAGCAAGATGAGATGAGTTGAACAGAGCTGGTAATGAGGTGAGGTGAGTGAAGTGAGTGAGAGAAGACACGAGAGGTGTATTTGTTTAAGGAGTCTACCAGGTAAAACCAGAAGGTAAACGTCACCTGTTGACCATATGTTAGTGAAAGTGGTACGAGGGAGGCAAGGAGGGTGGGGGGGAAGGGAAGGGGGGTGGGAGGAAGGGTAGGAGGGATGGAGGGTGGGCGTGAGGGAGGGGGGAAAGGGAAGGGTTGGTGAGAAAGGGGGGTGGGAGGTAGGAAAGAGAAGTGTGGGAGGAAGGGAAGGGTAGGAGTGAGGAAACGCAGTACACCACTAGTTTGGTGGGGGATTTTCACTCGTGTCCACAATTTACGTTTTTCCTTATCGTGGCTGTTGAGCATAGTTGCTACACATGGCCCCGCGGTTGATAAATGGTGATGGTAATGGTAATGAAATGGGTAATGATGGTAGTGGTGGTAGTGATATCAGTAATAATAATGATGATGATGGTACCGGCGGTTCCATGACAAACCCCCAACGGACAAAACCCCAATGGGGGTTGTCATTTGTCAACACTAACGTTACCTAACCTAAGCTTAAAAGTGTTTTATTTTATATTTTATATATGAGACTGGGGTTTTGTCCGGTGGGGTTTTATCCGGTCACCGGTACCGGCAATGATATCAGTAATAATGATGATGGTAGTGATATCAGTAATGATGATGATAGATATAATGCCAGTAATGATGATGATAATACTGGTTAATGATGATAATTTTACCGGTAATGATAATGGTAATCATTACATCAGCAATATTGATACACTGTGTTTTTTGTTCACCAGGTGAGGTAATTAAAAAAATGCACTGATAATAATAATGATAGTAATGATGATGAATATATTGTTTAGGAAACACAGGTGAGATTGAAATGAAATAATGATGATAATTACTGTATCAATATTTCTCAGGTGTTGTAAAATAGTTCCATGTGCTCATTTACCTTATAGATATATGTGTGTGTGTGTGTGTGTGTGTGTGTGTGTGTGTGTGTGTGTGTGTGTGTGTGTTTTATCTTTTTATTGCTATGCCTTGATTAATAACACTATACTTTCCCTTCCCACTTAGGCAACCCTAAAATAAACGTAATCAAAACAAAAAAATAAAGACTGGATGCTATAAGTCCTTGTATTTTCATCACATAAATGGTATAATTATCGTTCCAAATCCATTTTTAGTTAAGTGGATCTGAATGCTATTAAGAATCGAAGAGTAGAATCCATGGTCGAGTCAGTGATGTCAAACCTCTCTCTCTCTCTCTGTCGAATTTCCAATATTTTTTTTGTATTCACTTTGTGTGTTAATCGTCAATACACAGATAGAAACCTGAAGTGAAAACGACGTATTTTTTCCTCCCTGTGTTGTATTGGTAATGTTTTCGGCACCAATGTGGTAGATGTAAAGGCGTAAAAAGTGTACATTGGAGATTGGAAGAGCCGTGAACGTGGGATTGGTAGTATGTGATGGTTATTGGAGAGGCGAGTGATTATTGGAGTAGCCAGAGTTAGGTAGTGGCGTTTGTTGTTATAGTTGGGTTATAGTATAATGGTGGAGGGGGGGGGGGGTTAACCCAAGGCGATGGTGCCCAACCCTAGAGTATAGTATTTTATCCCACTAAGATATCTTTAACCCCTTTGTGTATGGTAACGTAAGCCTTTATATACTATGTCTGAACCCTTTGAATATGATGAGTACTCAGCGGTTAAGTCATTGTACTCGTGGGATTAAGTCAACGTAGCCATAGGGTTAAGTAATGTTTTTGGAGTTGAAGAGTAAGGATGATAATTGCTGATGATGAAACGTGATTGTATATCTGTTCCGTATTTCATGTGAATAGTTCATTAAAAGTGGAAAATCATAAGCCTTACGACTCGCTTGGGGCAGTGTGGACACAACGTACTGGTGTAGGAGGAGGCAATGTCGTTGACTATTTTTCGCCTTTAAAGTTGTGCACATATTTTTAATTTTCTGTTCATTTTCCTTTTTGTTTGTCTGTTTAATTATTATTAGTATTCAGACCTTTTCTGTTTATATTTGTATTTTAGAAATTGCATTAAGTTTAGATAGAACTGGTACACACACACACACACACACACACACACACACACACACACACACACAGGACACAATAAAACACCGTGTTTTATGCAGACATGTATGTGTTATTACGGTGGAGTGCAGGATGGCACAAACAACAATCTTATAGTGACTAGTGGTGGCCTCGACCTGCGAGATGTGTCCACCTGGGGAGGGGGAGTCCTCTTGGGGGAAGTGATCCACCTGGGAGTTCTCGTGGGGAAGTAATCCTTTTGGAGAAGTGATCCTCTTGGGTAAGTGATCCACACAAGGAAGTAATCCTGAGTGAGGTGATCCCGTAGTATTGAACTATACCTGGAGTCCTTATTGAGCAGTGATCCTCATTGGGTCGTGACCCACGTGAAGCAGCGGTCCTTATGGGGTGTTGATCCTCACGAGGAAGCGGTTGTCATGGACAAGTGATCCTCATGATGAAGTGATCTTTAGGGGGGTAACCCTTATTGGGCATTGGTCCTCCTGGGGAAAGTTACTCTACGTGAGGAGGGGGTGGAGGGTAGGGGTGCCTAAGGCCACACATTGAGCTGCCATTGATCGGCCGTCCACCTACGTCTTGTTCGTGGTTAGGTCTAGTGGCCAGCCATTGGTGGGGTTGATGAGTTGTTGGGATACTTCAAGTTATACTCGACCAGAGCGTGCTTCTAGGAGGGTGCCAGGTATGGGTTATATCGGAGGGACGTTTTGTATATTCTTCGTTATACTCAATCGGGGTAGGAACTTTATAGACGGGTCCTTTTAATGTGGGTATATCGGAGTGGCGAGTCGCATACCCCTTTAGTTATACTCGACTGGAGCTGGCTCCTCAGGGTATGACTGAACTGGGGCATCATAGACTGGCTCTTGGGGTGAGTATGAAGGTGATGGGGCGGGGTATGATGGTGCTGGGGCGGGGTATGATGGTGCTGGGTATCCTGGCTGGTATTCTTGAGTTTCGGGGTACTGGGCCTCACCCTTGTACTCGACTTGGGCCTGGAAGCCATTGTAGTGGTCGGCCTTGTAGGAGACAATCTGGGTGCGGCCGTCGGGGAGGTCCACCTGGTAGGACCCGACCACCTCCTGCCCGTCAGAGTTTTCGTTGTGGCCGTAGTTGGCGCCGGAGTAGCCGTCGTTCACGCCGTATTCAAAGGCGTATGGCTTGGGTGGATCCTGAAGGTGGAGGAACGTGGTAATTAATGATTAAATTGAATATACTAGTCGTCATGAGGCAGCTGGTATCAGGGTATCTTAAAACCTTACCTAACTCTAACGAACACAAGAATCTGTAAGAATCCTGATGTTCTTTGTGATTTTTTTATATTCCATTTTCTATTATTATTATTATTATTATTATTATTATTATTATTATTATTATTATTATTATTTATCGTTCAAGGTGTTGTTCCTCATTTTTCTGCATAATTGTTACGTCTTCACTCATCATACTTAAAGCATATATTGAGTATCCAATGCACGTCCCACTGAACCAATCACTTGCAGTTATAAACATTACATGACCCTGTACTTTTGTCATCTTATTGGTTAATCTTGTCCATCATATTACTCACTATCTGCCATTCAACTGATGTCTAATTATTATTATTATTATTATTATTATTATTATTATTATTATTATTATTATTACTACTACTACTACTACTACTACTACTACTGTATACGTTACTTGTATGATTACCTCTATAGATCATAACAACTAGGGGTAGGAGGCTGTGTATGAGGGTTGGTCACACTCACCTCCTCGTAGGTCTGTGGGTGGGGGGCGTACGAGGGTTCCTCCTGGTAGCGGGCAGGGTAGGAAGAAGGGGGCTCGTACGAGGGTTCCTCAGGATGTGGGGCGGAGTACGGGCCGTAGGCAGAAGGGGCGTCGTCAGGCTGGGGGAGGGGCCCGGCAGAGGCCACGCCCAACACAGCTGCTACCAGACAAACCTGAGGAAGAGAGAGAGGCAGAAAGCTGACATGTGTGTGAGTTTGTGACAGGTGTTTAAAAGCGCTGCAGCCACCACTTACATACAGTGGGGGAGGCAGCGGTTTCCCCCATTTATATTTTAATGGAGCTTGGTACAACTTGGGATAAATGGTCTTTTAATGGTACCTTAAAATTTTATAATAATAATTTGAACACTTGAGGATACAGAGTCGATTATTACTACACCTGGTTAACGGAAATCTCCTGTTGACGTTATATTGTTTTATTGTGCTTTAGCATCGAAGGTTTTTAAGAGGTTTATTACTGGGTGCGGTGGCCAAGTGGACACAGCGTTCGCCTCCTGTTCTGAGGGTCGCTGGTTAAAGCCCATGGCACCGCTTCCTATCGTCTACCCAGCTTTGACCGAGTACTTATCTTTGCATTTGAGGAAGTGAAGGCAATGGAATGTTATGCCGGCCACACTACCTCCTTGTGTTCCGAAATCAGGCTTAGTCTACAGTGTGCTGTTTCCACCTTGCTTCTTACGGGTCGTCAGGTTTGGGAACCACAATTTAAATACGTTCTTGCATCTCCAGTTAAGGGAAAGATGTACGAGACTCTGAGAATTCACCGTCGTTAAGCAGGGCCAGGAAAGTTTAAGGTGTGATCACAGCTAAACACTCACAGTAAGACCTCGAAATACACCGCCACTCAATGCACGCGGCGTAAACAATGATCTTGTATTAACGTAAATATATTATTGAGTGACTTGTCTCGTGGTGTTCCTGAGACCATCTGGCATGTCTCGAGACCTGACTTGATTATTATTAATTCACCTTGCAAAGTTTGATGATAAATACAGGTGACGTATACCCCTTGTCCTTTACACTGCCTCTTGTTACATACACCGTCCGAGTAGAGTAGTTAACATACACTGCACAACACCTTGGTCTAGTTCTGTCTTGTACGATTTATGATACCAGGTACATGTCCGGGTTTTCCCAATCAATTTAAAAGGTGTATTAGAAGCTTTATAGAAATACGCATATTAATACCTAATGGCACTCGAGCAGGATTATAATAACTCATTATGTTATGTTTATTAATTCTAAGACGGAATTTTTCTTTATAAAATTCTGATTGATACAGACTTCTATAATGAGTTGAAAAAGGAAATAAATTATTTTTGCAAGTGATTATTGTTGAATGAGTGGCCAGAGTCTGAGCTGCCGGAGTCAAATGTTGTTATTAAACACGAATTATTTACTCTTGGAATAATAAACGACCTGGAAATTTTAATGACTATTTGGTCTTTGTAGATTTGTGGGGGGATGGAGTGTGGGCGGGTTTTTTTTTATGTTGTTAAGGAGCTGTTGGTTAATGACCAGTTATTGGGTACTGGCTGTAGCATACGTGTTTAGGTCAGACAGTGACATCTGAAGGTCGTTCGTGAGGATTGACAGTGAAAACTTTTGTGTGTATTTAAGTTGGAATATTAAGAGGGAGACCAGCGAGAACCCTGTGTCTTACCTTGAGGTTCATGTTGAGGAATACGAGTATGGAGTCCGCGCTGTGTGTGTGTGCGTGGCGATGGCCGAGCAGCGGGTGAATGATGTCCCACCGGGTAGGTGTCCCCCTTATATACCTCTACGTCTGAAAGTGTCCACGACGACGCACGGGGGACACGACAGCAGGGGCGAGGAGCAGCTGTGGCAGGAGGACGACAGCGGCAATAACAGGAGGAACAGCGGCAGGAAGAGCCAGTGGTTAGAAACAGATGGCCTGACTTCATTTGGTAGTCACCTGATGACACACTTTCTGTTATGCCGCGTTTGTTGTCACGGTGTCTCACAAGACCAGCATTACTTGTTATGTTTGTGATGCACAACAAATATCTTGATTACCTGCAGTGCCTTCATGACGCACAACATTTCTTCTGATTCTTGGCTCAGGAGTGTCCTCTAAATACCTTATGTACTGTACATTCATAGTACAGTAGGAGTAATTGTGGTATTGGTGTATTACTTCGCAGTCGTCTATAGGCAACAGACATATTTATTTTAAGAGTAATTGTATGATTAGTTACTGAAACGATACACAGAAGGATGAATTAATAAAGCCGAGTTTTTTATGCTTTTAAGAATAAGTATTGAGGTTAATAACCGTTGTGGAATACTAAAATATGTGAATAGGAACTATACTGTTCTTAAGAGACCTGGTGGTTATGAATGATAGTGGAGGTGGAGCAGTTTGTTGTTACACGTGAAGCAGTTTCCTGACAGCCTGTTGAGTCAACATCACGGTGAGTGAACATGAGAGCTTACTCACCCTAGCTAACAAGACCTTCACTCTCACTGTCCTGCTACTTACTTCTCTCTACTCGTCCGTCATCTCTCCCCTCCCCTCAGATCCCTTTTTATACTACCAATACTGTTCGTGATATATCGGTATATATATATATCACCTCACCTCAGTCCTCGCTATACACCGTCTGTCTCTCTCCCCTCACTGCTCCCTCCTATCATACGGTGCTCTCCAGACCTGCTTATCACTATTACACAAAGTTACATAAAGTTACTCATCACATCTGTCCCTTACTTCCTCTACGTCATCCCTCTATAGGAGACGACCCATATCTTCACTACCTCTATTCTGCTGCTGTTTCCATGGTTATTTTGTTAATTAAGTTCATCCTATCACCCACCCCTACTCTCTCTTTAACCGTGACCACAACACACACCGTTCCCTATCATTCCGCCCCTGATAACGTGGGAGCTCCCATAGTCGAACCTCTATAGTTTCCTTCATTCATCTATCATCCTGATTATGGAGTCCCCTTCCCTCTTACAACCTTCCCTCACCCTACATATTATCTTACTTAGCTTGAATATAGGTTACTTAGTAGCATTATTCTTCAGAGGACACATTACCTTAGTCCATTAGCGTTGACAAAAATATATATAAGCCTACTATAGCGCCTGTGTATGTACCACCTCTCTTGGAGTCTCTGGCATGAGCCTTATGAAACTGACTCTAGGAATAATAGTAAACTGCCGTCGTATTTTAACAACATAAACACTAACATTTCATCATCCATGGTAGCTCACACCTGCCAAAGAAAACGATGACAGACTCAGGGCAAATTTATTAAATCCTACAGACAAATTTCGTGACGCTGTCTCTCACTATGGCCGAGAAGTGAGTAATTCTCGAGGAACTTACCTAACCTAACTTCCAGCGAGTGACAACGTGGCGAGACTTCTCTGTACGATTAACCACGGTGAATTTAATTATGGTCAGAGAGAGAGAGAGAGAGAGAGAGAGAGAGAGAGTAAACTAAGTATATATGTAGGATTATATGCAGACTGTTAGGGTTTGTGGGCCTCTGGATGTGGAGTGAGGGAGTGTAAGTGTGTGTGTGTGTAGACGATGGTCGGCGGGGAAAGTTTAGGTATTAACACTCAAGAGTAACCTGTAACTCGTGGTTCAACATTGACTCATTTCGCCTCCTGTGTGAGTCACGACCTATACACTCACACGACCTATACACTCACACGACCTATACACTCACACGACCTATACACTCACACGACCTGTCACCCCAACGACCCGGAACACTGCTCGGTATCAGCTTGAAAATAACTAGCTTGAAGCATCAAATGATAATGCTTTCATAATGGTAATAGTGATGATGATTATTAATAATAATAATTGTAATAATAAAGTTAATGGTGACAGTAAGGTTTATTGCAATACAACCGATGAAATATGAATAAAGTAATAACAATAATAATAATAATAATATTGCTAATTAAAGTAATAGTCAAAATATATAAAAGACAGCATGAGTATAGATAGGATGGTGTAGGTGTGGGTGGAGCAGCGTGGGCGTGGTTAAGACTGTGGGCGGAGGTGAAAACTATGGGCCTGGATGGGAGGTGCGTGGGCATTGTTGATACAGTATATAGGCATGGGTGGGCCGTGGGTGGTGTGGTATTGAATCTGGGAAAAGGGTGAAAGCTGCCCATCGCGAGGAGCCTCAGTGTGTGGTCACGACAAGACAAGTTCACTACCTGGTCGTCTGTTGTCTGACCCTTGATGGTGTAGGGAGCGTGAGTAAGGGCGTTAGTGCGTTTGTGAGGGCGTGAATAAGTGGCTTAATGAGTACATTTGAGTGAGTGAATGCATTAGTTGTAGATGGTGTGTGTGTGTGTGTTAGAATGATTAAACCATTAATCTTGTCAAAAAATCATCATCATCATAATTATTACTAGATTAAATATCATCCTTGAGTTAGTAAATTATCATCCTTTAATACTTAAACCATTATCTTGTTAAACCATCATCCTCGTAAGGTTTAAATCTAGCCTCTCAGATTCTTGTTTATTTATTTATTTATTTAATTAATTCCTAACCTGGACCCAATCTTCAGTGGCCATAGTGACATCGTTAGTTACAATATCACTTGAAGTTTTGTTCCTTAGGCATTTATATTCTTGAATTTTTTTTTTCTTCCAATTAAAATTATCCATCAGTCAGGTCATGAAAGTCAGTGGCGTTGTTTGTGTCGTGACGCGAGTGTGTATAAACAAGTAACTTCAAACTGCATTAGAATCAAAGGTTGAGAGTTTAGACTGACAGGCGAGTGAGTGGTGAATTTCTCTGGTAATTAACTTTGAAATAACTTGGCTGAAAACGGCCTGGAGCTTATGTGCTGTAGATGAGTTTCCTGTTGTAGATGTGTTACCTGTTGTTGTAGATTAGTTACCTGTTGGAGTAGATGAGTTACCTGTTGGAGTAGATGAGTTGCCTGTTGGAGTAGATGCGTTACCTGTTGTAGTAAATGAGTTACCTTTTGTAGATGAGTTATCTGTTGTCCGAGATGTTGTAGATGTTTTACCCATTGTTACAATATTGAAATGTTGTAGATGAACGATACTTCAAGGCCCTGTCCACTGAATCACTTTAAACCACAACAGAAACTAAGACTCAATAAACAATGCTTCAATACCCTCTAGCCGTTGAAGCACCACAACACACTAAAGCAGCAACAACAGCAACAGCAGCAACATCATGAGAGGTGTTGTCCAAGGTGGAGTGTGTGTGTGTGTTAAAGCAGTCAATTGAAGGCGAGATATGAGTTGGCTAGATTACCTTCCATTTGTGTTATTGGCTTTTAGGGGAAAGGAAAGTTGTTTGAAGACTAGAGGGATAACGTCGATACAAAGCCTGGGTAGCACTTTGTGGTTTGGAAATACTGTACCTGGAAACTGCCTCTCTGTAATAGGGTGTGGGTTATCAGTGCTGGAAGTGTAATTTATCTCGACAGTGACTCAAGTCCAGGTGATATTTTAGTTAGTAATTCATTCCAGGTACAGGTAATATTTTAGTTAGTGATTCATTCCAGGTACAGGTCATATTTTAGTTATTTTATAATTCCGGGTAATAATTTGGGTGGTTGTTTTTGTAAGTTGGAAGGTAAATAATAATCCATGCTGGCATATTTATTATTGCTGGTTAATTATTCCAGGTAGGCGGGTATAGGAAGGGTCTTATTTAGTCCAGTATTATGAAGTGAGGATTATATTTTGTTAATGAGGCTTTATACAGGTGGATGGAGGGCTAGAGAGAAGAGTGGGCGGATAGATAGGTGGATGGATGGAGAAATAGATAGATGGGTAGAATGATGTATAAGTAGATGGATAGATGGGTGTGTAGAGGGATAGGTGGATGGGCCTTTAAATCAATGTCATTCCGGAGTTGTCATGACACACACACACACACACACACACGTTACAAAAACAACATCGGGTCAACTTTGAAGCCTTAATATGACCTCGTAAAGGCCAAGTTCACGAGTCAAGGGCGAGCCATTGTGTTATTATGAGCACCTGTAACGAGGGTTATATAGAGGTGGGTAACCATTACTCCGTCTGTACCTCCGTCAGATTGTGGTCCCCTAAAGTTTGTGTAGAGAATGACATAGTGTTAATAAGGTGATGCTGTTGATGAAAAGGTCACGCTAATTACCTCCTCATTACCGTACTGGGTGACGTTGATGACTTGTCTTACCTGTTGGTAGGTTAATGGTTATGGAACATACAGTAGGTGTACTACTAAAAGGTTAAAGGGAAAAATTATTAGATAAATAAATATAAAACTTACGTATTTGATGTTTGTCCTCGCTAAGATCCACCCTGGTGATACACGATACAGTTTACATAAAAGTCTTTGGTAGGTTAATGAAGAAAAGTTCATTTAAAAGAGGCGTGAATAAGGTAGAATGCACATATTAGTTGTTAGAGGTTGTTTAGTTAAGGAATTTAAGATATTTTAGGACCTTGGGTTCTGTGGTGTCCCAATTCCGAACACAACAACGAGATACAGTAATTAGAGCAGCAAGGCAGATGACGATGATGGTGAGAGTGAGTGAATGACCTCGTCGAGTATCGGTAGGAAATAATTACCAGAGGAGAGGATGGTCGTTTACACAACAATTAACTCCTTCTGTTGTCACTTAACAAATAGTGTTAATTTAGCGAGTCGGCTCAGCACGATGGAGTTGAGTGGATGGAGCTCGTGGGTGTCCAGGGCTCGTTGGTGTCCGGGGCTCGTGGGTGTCCAGGGCTCATGGGT